TCAACTTGTTTGATGCTATGGAAGAGGACAGGAAAGCTGGTAGAGCAATCTTGGAGGAGCTGCATACTCCTAGCCCTCCAAGCCTGATCGGAAGTGAGGATTGCAACCACTGTCCATCTTCAAGGGAAAGATTCAATAGCATGGTCTTAAGGAGAGAGTCATATTCCTTGAGTTTTGGACTGCTGAAGGCTGGGGAGCATCTCAGAAAGCAGGTAAGTTTTGGGATTGACAGGCACCTGGTGAGTAGGTAGAAGGCATCGTGTGTGTCAATGTCTTTCATCCTGCTTTCCATCGTCCGGAGGTCTGAGACTTTTTTTTCTAGGATCAGATCAAAGGCATTGGACCCCAAAAGGAGCACCAAGGAGAGTGCTATTGGCTGGATCAATGGCTCGTGCTCCTGGTAAAACGGCGCTAACATTCTGGATCATCTCTTGATTGGTAGAAACTATTTCACATATTGTGGGGTTTAAAGAAAGGCCCAGGCTTTCTTCCATGTCTTTAATTTTACTGATGTCCTCTAGGAGAGATTCTGTTGTGCCAGCTAGTGTACCATCATCCAGCAACCAGATATTGAGCTCGCTGGAGAGTGCTTCTGTGACTTCCTTGATGACCAAACATGAAATTGACATGAGTCAATTTCATGGTCCCCAAACAATAGTTTGGAAGTCACACTATAACACGATTCTATGAAGGGATAAAGGGAAGGGAAGCTTTTATAAACTGCTTGGAGAGCAGCATCCCTTCTGACTGAGTTGAAAGCGTTTTCAAATTCCAATTTGACCAAGGCTTTTTCATCGGACATGTTGTTGATATATACTCGTGCTGCGTGGGCAGCTGCTTCACAGCCCTGTTGAAAGCCGAAACCGAGCTGAGTTGGTTTCTGCATTGCAGCAGCCTCTTGACTCACCCTTCTTACTGCAGCCTAGGTGACTAGGCGCCGAAGGGTGTTACCCACTGCAATGGGCCTGATTCCGCCATCCTTTTTCCGGAGGGCACAAAATGAGGCACCAAAGAAAAGGGGTCTGATGGCCTCTGGGACACTGACAGCCAGACACAGGTTGGAATATTTGGCGAGTTCAGACAGCAGCCTCTCTGAAACCTCACCAAGTGCTGGATCGAGTATTTGTTTTAAGTGTTGAGGCCTTAAACCGGTGAAACCTCCTGCTGAGCCCTGTGGAAATGACATAACAGCTTTATACACATAAGCATCCTGTAAGGTTAGATGTTCTTCGCCTGCTGCAATGTCAGGGAGGTCAATGTTGGTACTGGGAGACATGGGTGGATGTTTGTCCTTCAGAGCTTGCGCCGTGCTGACGTCCTTGGGAGCGATGGTATCCTCACTGGTTACAAGTCTCAGAGCTACAATAGTATTACCCTCTTCTCTTTTTTTGCTAATTTGGGCTCTGATTTTTGAGGTGTCGGGTGTCCTGTTGTTGGCATTTGCCCGGCGGGTGTTTGTCGCCCTAGGGCCTAGGGGGAAGACGGACGAGGTTGCCATCCCTTGGGAATGCATTTATTGCCCTAAAAATTGCACTGCTGGCCTTGCTACTGGCAAGTCACAGTCGCTCCTCAAGAAGAGTCCCCGTGCTCCCCGTTGGGGAGGGGAACCTCTACCTCGACATCGATCTATTTCAAGATGAGTTACTCTAACAGAGTCAAAATCAAACCATCCAGTGGTCTGATCAATGACTCCACCAAGCTTGCCCTTGCTGTGGTTGTCAAGGGACTGACTGTCAAGATTAACACCATCCTATCCCTCCAAGAATCCTTCATTGTCGTCTGTGAAGACGATGTGGAGGCTGAGAAACTACTGACTGCACCTGCCCTGACCACTCTCGAAGAACGTGGCTACAGGATCATGTCCTTTCCAGCCTTAAGGGCTAAGAGAACTGTTTTTCTGAAGCGCCTGGATAAACTGATTACGACACAAACAACCGAAGATCTCAAGAAATCTGTCGAAGAGCAGAACCCATGGGCAAAAGTGGAAAGCATTACCAAGATTCCCACGGCCTCATCAATGTTAAAGATTACCTTCACTGACGCCACGATGGCTTCCCAAGCTACTACAGAGGGACTAGCTATTTACTACTACTTTATCAACACTAACCACATTGAAGCTGAGCGACACCATCATGTTACCCAATGCTGGAACTGTTACTCGTACCTTCACTTATCAAAAGACTGCCCCACCAAGGACAAGAAGTTCTGCTCCACCTGTGGTTCTGAGGGACACGACTCCAAAGCATGTACTTCCAATGCTCCATTTAAGTGTCTTAACTGCAAAAATGACCATCACACTCTCGCTGCTAAGTGTCCCACTCGCCGAGAAATCATTAAAAAGAATATTGAAGCAGAACAGAAGAAGGTACCATCTAGATCACCCACGTATGCTGCTATCACCAAGCTACAGGCTGACACCACCTGAAAATCAACCCAGGAGTCCACCACCACTATCTCCACACCTGCATGTGACTCAACAAAAATACAGTACTGCCTACTGTATGCTCACATGCACAACATAGCAGCACCAGGCTCCTTCAACACTACCATCAATGAACTTTTCAGACTAAACAACATGCCGTCATTCACCTTCCCAGACTCTCCACCTTCTGCAGACATAATCAAGATCACCCAAGCACCAGAAAATATTACCACTCCTGTAACCACAACGCAAAATACAACAAACACAACAACAACAACAAACTCCACCGCAACCACTGACCAATCAGCAGCCTCACCTGATCTACCTGAGACCGCCACCACCACTGCCGACCTACTCTCCGCATCTCCACTTCAATCACCGATGGCAAAAAAAGCCAAAGAACTTTCACCTGTGAATCCACCACAAGAAACTCCACCTCCATTAGAAACAATGACAGTTGACCTGAACCTCAGACCCACCGCACCTATCACCCTGTACACATGCACGCAAGACTGCCAGATGCTGCATGCAGGCCAAGCTAAATATAATGTACAATATGGCCACGTCAAGTACACTGTTGCACCACATACCGACCTACAGACCACCAACGCCTTACTAGAAGACCTAGGCAACGACAAACAGCACATGGTAAAACTTGTCCTGCTCTCAAAATCAGCATATAGAAGAATTACCAACGGCTCCTATACTAGCCGCCGCCTCCAGCCCACCTCTCGCCTCGCGCCAGTCTCCACCAATCACAAGCCAGGCAACACCACGCTGGTGAGATGCACACAGCAGTGCTCCCAAGTCATCGATCAAGTTTGCCTGCGTATCCTGACTCTCAAGCTCCTTCCCACAAACTCCTTCACGCACAGCTCTGCTGCTGGGTTAAGCCCTGGCTCTTTCTCTAAGACTAAGGACACTCCTCTCAAGATCTAGTCTTCGTCTATCCAGTCTTCCCCGCTCACCCCGTCGGGGTCTTACCTAGAATATCTTGCTTGCTTGCTTGCCCTAATAACATGTGTTGCTAGTGACTTGTCCCTCCTTGGTGGGACAGCCAAACAGGCATTGCCAAAAAGCAGCAGGTTGTGCCAGGATCTGTTGTTTGAAGGAGCATCGTTGACTTTCTTCAGGTCAGTGAATTTGCTAGCAGCTTGAGGGCGAGCTGCTTTGGGGATGTGTCAGAGTCCTGGTGGATGTTAATTTGACTGCAGATTTGAGGTCCTCTGTAGAGGTAAAGTCACGGTAGCTGTCAGCCCTGTCTGCTGGGGGAGGCTGTTGGTTGTTCTCATTTGGAGCTCTCCTGGAGCCTAGACATCCATTGTGTGCACGGATGTTGCCAGTGGGATTGAGTGCACAATCCCTGTAGCACACCCGGCAGATGCCTCGTGAACGACATCTTTGGCTCTGTCGTGAAGATTCCTGGGAACCCGCGACTGCTTGTGACATTGCTGATATCGTGGGGGTGGGAGGGCGCCAGCTGTGGGGTGACTGGTGAAGGACAGCATGGATGCATGAGGGATGAGGGTGGGGGAGTAGCGAGCGGCGGAACTTGTAATTGGTGGGGCACTAAACGGCAACACCCTTGGTCAGGAAGTCAGTGGCCCTAGGCTGTAATTATTATTTTACTACATGTAAACCACACAATAACCAAATTCTGTAAACTCAGCATTGTAATCCTTATAGAGAATAAACTTCGAATTGAATTGAATTGAATTGAATTGAATTGAAGGGAGGGGATCAGGGATGGGGGCTGAGGGAGTGGCCCTGTGTGTTCGCTCAAGATGCCCATCACTGACTAACTTTTGCTAATTGTTATACACTTAATGTTCCATTTAGAAAAAACCCTCGCCATTTGGCACACTAATCACCATGCTCACACTATTAACCGAGGTGTTCTTCTGTTCACCACCCAATGACCGTGTCGTGGGCGGCCACTTCTTCCCCCAACCCCCGACCCCGGCAGGTCACAGATGTAAGCAAAACCTCCTCCACACCTCCACTGCCAGGATCCCCTCAACACCGCTACTCCCCAAATCCCAACATGCACACTGCACTTTCACTGATACAGAAGCAACGGTCTGATGCAGAGGATGGTCACAACTCTGTGATCTCCGGTGGATACTCACGATGATGTCTGCCGAAACTGGCCCGCGTAAACCATGTTGGTTCTTGGTTTACACACAGAATGTATGGAGCAACACACACACACACACACACACACACACACACACACACACATATATACAGGCTTCGGTGAACCATCGAAGATCGAATAAAAATAAAATGCGCTGATGAACCTATTTTCCTTAATCAGATTAAAACATTTCATATTCCTTTATTCAGCTTTATTAAGTGAGAATTTTCGGAGTATATTCAATGAGACATTTTTAATCTCGAGAATAAAGACTAAGGTATCCTTGACTGGTGGTGCGCAGGTTACCTGCAACCTTACTCACCTTTTAAGGAGTCGATAGCCTAAAAATCCAATTAAGCAACCAACCTATCACGAAGTAGAAAACCTTTGTAGGAACCATAATATTCTTACACTGAAAATATTTCAGAACACGTAACATACCTGCTTTGTGCTGCTCTCTCTCTCCTGTAGAGGAAACACCAGGAAGGACGCGGAGAGAAAGGCCAGGGCCAGAGGCATCATGTTAGAGTAGACGATGCTGCCCATGGTGAACTCCGAGGTAAACTTCCACTGCAAGTACACCATTTAATAAACATATGTCATATTTAATGAAAGTTTTGCCTATCTGTTGCCATGAAGATTGAAATGCTTATATACTGTGCAAACTGGTAGAGAGAGAGGAGATTCTTCTCACTATCAGAGAACTTAGGATTGAGCCTCTAACACACTCTGTGATGAATGATGCATGTGGTCACAGAGATAACTGCATTAACTGCTTGGAATCAACATAATTAGAATTACTAGCCCACTGGCACACAAAAGATTATGATTTGGGTACCACTATCGAGAACTTGAATGGAAAACAAGAACTTAAGAGTGCAGGCACTCTACTTCCCATCACCACCCCACCTTAAGAGTGCAGGCACTGTACATCCCACCATCATCCAACCTTAAGAGTGCAGGCACTGCACTTCTCGCTTCCACTCCATCTTCAAAAGTGAAGGCACTGTACTTCCCACCACCACCCCGCCTTAAGAGTGCAAGCACTGTACTTCCCACCACCACCCCGCCTTAAGAGTGCAAGCACTGTACTTCCCACCACCACCCCGCCTTAAGAGTGCAAGCACTGTACTTCCACCACCACCCCGCCTTAAGAGTGCAAGCACTGTACTTCCCACCACCACCCGCCTTAAGAGTGCAAGCACTGTACTTCCACCACCACCCCGCCTTAAGAGTGCAAGCACTGTACTTTCCCACCACCACCCCCCCTTAAGAGTGCAAGCACTGTACTTCCCACCACCACCCCGCCTTAAGAGTGCAAGCACTGTACTTCCCCACACCCCCGCCTTAAGAGTGCAAGCACTGTTACTTCCCACCCCCCCGCCTTAAGAGGCAAGCACTGTACTTCCACACCACCCGCCTTAAGAGTGCAAGCACTGTACTTCCACCACCACCCCGCCTTAAGAGTGCAAGCACTGTACTTCCACCACCACACCACTTAAAAAGCAACAGAAACTGGAGAAATTTGTTAGTGGGTTAAAAAGTTCTACTCCTTTAATTCTTGCCTGGAAAGATTTATATAAATAACTAGGGAAAAAAGAGAGGTAATGTTTATTCTTTTCCTCTGTAAAAAAACTAATGACCTCATAAATAACTGGGCCAAAATATTCTAGGTAGAGGAATCTCCCAAGAAAAACTTTCTGCAGACAAGGTGAAATTGATTTATTTTCAGTCAGAATATTTGATAAAAGTTGTTGCCTCTTACTTGCTATTATTTAGATGTTGCGTTAAATGAGGTCATTTTTGTAACTCCAGGAGAGGGTGTTATAATTTATGATGCCCTTAGATCTTTTATTTAAGCCTCTGATAATCTTTTGTTACAATGTGTAGTCTTCCTATTTCCCCGATCAATATTCTACATGCCTTTTCTAATTATATATATATAATATATATATATAAAATATATATATATTATATATATATATATATATATATTTATTATATTTTTTATTTATACATATATATAAGCTTTTAGGGTAACATCATTTTTCATCAATAGACAAGTCTTTGTAATCACTAGGCTTCAGCAAAACAAACTCACTTCCCCCCAGTGGTTAAAGGGGTGAAAATATTTACTACGTTAAATCCTAAGGATTTCTTTGTTTAGACGTCCCCATCAAAAAAATCCACAAGAAAAGTAATGATTGTATAAATGCCCCCGAGCTGTTGCTGTACAACCCCAATTGTCTGTTGAAGAATAGTGGGAAAAATTTTTTTGGTCCTTGGAGCTATGCAAAATAAAGCCTGAAAAATTATTCTTAGCTGTCCTAGAGCACCGGGTTTTAATATGGGAATGAGTGGTGCTCTAATTTCCCGTGAAAGAGTTTTGAAATTTAACTTCTTCTGGATTGAATGGTAAAAAATAAACCAAATGGGTTACTATAAATTTTACAAAATTTTCAAAATTAAAAAAAAACAAAGATTAAAAAGCATGAAAATAATTTTTAAGTTTAAAACCTGTACGAACTGCTCGTTTAGAAAGACATTGCACCCCTCCTTGAAATGTTTTTTTTTTTAAATATCACAGTCTACAAACCCGTCCGGAAAAGTTTCATTGTAATGCCTTTTTTTTATATCATTTTGCAAATGAATGCTCAAAAGGTTTTCTCGCTTGTCTATTACAACGATATATTACAATTATATACAGTGATGGATCAAAACAGATTCTACTGGCACCTTCTTAGATAAGAACGTAGTAAATATGTTGAATTGGCTAAAAAGTGTAACTGGGCTTACATGCAAATGAAAGTTTTTCTGTTCTAATGACACCAAAGAATTATGACACTTCAAAACCCTTGATACGAAGGCACCAACAACAGGCCAAGTAGGGGCCAGATATAATTCTCGAAATTGGAAAAGGGAAATTTAAATTTCTTTTCATAGATTCCATTATGCACAGAATTACTCATTCATGATAAAGGTGGGATAAGTTGGCCTAAGAAGGTATTCCCAAGGAAAATGTTGAATTGACTTTCGGGTGTCTGTGTCTCGCACAAGGAATAATATTATGAGGACAGTAAATAATGAAAATGAATGTCATGAGAACCCAGGTAGAAACATGCATAGATATAATGAACGTAGATAATTACATTCATGGAGCAATGTGAAATATGAACAGACTGACTGATGTTGTAGTCAGGGTTAGGCTTGGTTGTAAGTACCTCTGACAGTATGGTAGTCGCACAGATGATATAACTAAATGCAAATTATGTGGTCAACCGAATGGTCACTTGAAAAATATGCACTAAACTGTCCACTTATTGAAGAATATGGAGATAGTGTTCTGTAATGGCCTGTGATATATCAAGGAATCTTATTAATGAAAATAAGAACCCAGACATATTAAGCAAATATCGTAAATTTGCTAGCAACTTTTCACGTGATATAAATCCTGACGCTTGGCGAACAAAACCTAAAAAAAAAAAAAATGTACCCATGCTCTCACTGGAGGCCTTTGCCACGCGTTCTGCCAAGCTTTTGATCTACTGGGATAATTTGATGGGCTAATTGAATGTAGCCTCTCCTGAATTTCCTGTCTTAATCTATATGTTCTTTTCTGGTATTAACCTGGTATAGTTACAGGACAAGTTGGTTTATAAAGACACCCTGACCAAACACATGATTATACTTATTATAAAACGATTCGATCCGTTATATAGGTAAAGAGTGAAGTGTGACCTGAAGAATTCTATACTGCGATTCAGGGGACAGCTAGACTATAAACATATCTTCCATCAAAGACCTCACGATGAAATGTAACCCACCAATTAACTTCCACTGAGGGCGGTCTACACCATCCTGTGGATTTTGTCCATGAAATATGTTGAGAGAAACAGGCAGAAATTAATCTATTCTGTCCGCTGAAACGAACATCGAAAGCCACAGAGAGTCGCAATTAAGGTTGCGGACTGTGTCCTCCACAGGACCCCACAGGACATTTAATGAATTGGGAGAGGTACAGTTCGTCCTCTCCGTTCTTAGATCATAGAGATGCCGGACGATGTCTGGAAGCCCCTCCCCCTCCTCCAAGCAAAAGCCCCCCCCCCCCCCCTGAAAAAGCCCCTCATCACCCCCCCCCGTCTCCCCCCGGGACCCAGACACATGGAATACATTACTGAAAACTACTGATTTCAGAACATGAGGTATACTAAGTATCGCAACCAGGCAAATGCACTACTACCTAACATACACAGAGTTAAGCGATCCCAATTGGTACCCGTCCTCGACTTCTGTATGTTAGAAGTGATCGAGGTCCCAGGACCGAAACGTTTTCTAATGTTCTATTGTTTGCTCACGCGTCTTTCTAAACCAATGTATCTTTCTCGCCTTCAATTCAAGTAGTACAATTTAGGGGTTATTAAGTGTTTCTAACAATTTAGGTGCTTTACTAAATTTATACAACGAATGAAGATTCTCTGTATACTCCCCAGATCAATGATTTTACCTGCTTTAAAGGCGGTAGGAGAGAACAAATAACTTAAAGAGTTTGAACGTTGCCTTTGACAAGAAAAGGAAGGGACAAAATGTTTATACACTTCTGTGAATAACGTAAACCAAGTTCAATAAAATTTAACTGCTTAAAATCCCAAGCAGCCCTTTGGGATACAGGCCACTGATCTTTCTTCTTTCAACAAACCGGCCGTATTATCCCACCGAGGCAGTGTGGCCCCCCCCCCCACCGAACCCCGCCAGGTTTCTCTTTTTTAAATTTAGTAATTTATACAGGAGAAGGGATTACTAACGCCTTGCTCTCGGCATTTTAGTCACCTCTTACAACACGCATGACTTACGGAGGAAGAATTCTGTTCCACTTCCCCATGGAGACAGGCCACAGATATATCCTAATAATAGACTGCGAGTTTTTGGAAGATTTAGGTAGATGGATTCCAGATTGGTTTAGGATGTTTACTGAGCAAGAATACATCATTACTAGTTAATGTTCTGATGATGTAACATATTTTTATTTTAAATTTGGCTATATTACTTTGAATTTTTATGTTGAGTCTCTCATTTACTTTATTATATGTTTTACATAATTATATATTGAAACAGTTTATTTTCTGGGTGATTTTTATGTGGATTTTTTTGTTGGCAGGACCTTGATGTCATTTGGATAATTTCTGCCAGAAAAATAACTTAAAATATCTACACTGGAATTGGATCAACACTAATTTTTTTTACATTTATTAGCGTAAACAATTCTTCTATTAACTGGCTTTATCATGCAGTAGTTAGAAATGCAACTTATATTAGTAATAATAAGAAATCAGTATAATACAATTTGATAGGCTGAGATCATCTACCCATGAGATTGTATATAATTACTGATGTCAGTGTTTCTATAGAAGAAACGTTTAGCATGATGTGACTAAATAACTATAAAAGGCACAATACCGTGACTGGAACGATACACAAATAACCCGCACATAAAAGAGAGAAGCTTACGACGACTTTGTCAATGGTCCAAGTCGGACCGAAACGTCGTCGTAAGCTTCTCTCTTTTATGTGCGGGTTATTCGTGTATGATGTGACTGCTAGGAATGAGAGTTATGTTCCTTGAAAACAGTTTAACATTCAGGAACTAAATGAAATATATACGGGTGTCTATAAGAAACTTGGCAAGATTATGCTATGTGATGTATAATTAGATGTACACTCGTATGTTATACCCCTGATCTTCTATTACCGATTAACACTATTTATCTGTAATAATTTTACTGATTCTCTCTCAGGAAGGTCTTCTAATTTTAATAAAACTGTCACAGAATAAAATTAGTTCAAAATATTTCCAGCTTGAAATAGAAATGTTGAAAGTGTATATGATAAATCTAGAGAAACATATTGACTCTTGAAGAATGGAAGGAATAAAGAGTGACCAATTTTTAAAAGTAGCCTGAGAGTAGAATTTTTTTTAAATGGGTTTGACTGTGTGGAAGAAAGAAAATCAATGCAGATCTCGGCTGGATCTAGCTATTAACTACAACTTCATACCAAGAAATGCTGAGACATGTGTGCCTGCTATTTATATTTTAATATTGTGAAGATATAAACCCGCATGGGTCATACAACGCAAGCCGTATGGAGGCACGATCCTTTGTCTACTAAGCGCAAGGCAGATACGTGTATATTTGTATTATTATGACGTACAACAAATTTATTAAAAAGTACAAACACTAAATATGTACCTCACCTAATGTAACATAACCAATTATATACTAACTTAATATAACCTTAAACCTAAGTTAATGTAACGCACTATAAACTAACTCAATATAACCTAATGTAACTTAATATAACATAATATAAATTAAACTAATATAAATTAACCAAATATAATCTAACCTAATATTGCCTAATCTAATCTACATTAAGTTAATATAAACTAGATTAATATTAATGTTTATATAATCTAACTTAATATGACCAAGCTTAATGTAACCCACCCTAACTTAATCTAATTTAATATAACCTAATCTAGCACAATCTAACCTAGTGTAGCCTAACCTAATATAAACAAATGTGAAGTTGCCCAGTCTAGTATAACCTTATACAGTGGACCCCCGACTTACGATATTAATTCGTTCCAGAAGGAAGTTCGGGTACCGTTACCTAACTCAAAATATCTAACCATAATATTATGTAACTACATATGTAACCTAATATTACCTAACCACATACGTAATTTAATGTTATCTAACCACATAGCATAATCTAATATAGATCTCCCTAAGAAATCTAACCTAACATAGTCTAACTTAATACCTTTCAACATTTTATAGCCTAACTTAATGCCTTTCAACATATTATAGCTTAACTCAAATCCTATCAGCATATAACCTAAGCTCTTAGCTTCACTTAACCAAATTTATCTGTGGTAAGACGGAAATATGATCAAATTTACTCACTGTTGTGTCTGGGGGAAGTGGCCAGTTGGTTGTGGTGATACTTTGGCTGCTAGAGTTGGTGGCTAGTTTGAGGAGGGCGTTGGAGGCCAGGGAGGCGCCTATTCCAAGAGTGTGGTAAGGAATAGTCTGCGCCAGGATCCTTATAGTGGCTTCCTTCCCGTCGTCCAAGAATTCAGCCTGAAAATGGTCTTCGAATTAGCTCAGATATGACCTCATTAACCGATGATAAAATTAACCTGAATGACCAGTGAAGAATCTGGCACTGACCAAAGCTATCGTTGATAGCGAAAACAACCATTGGCCAAAGAAACTACTAGGCAACGACACCAGTGACCAACAAATTACTAGCTAAGGAAACAATGAAACAAAAGGACGCAAGTGCAACTAATACAACAATTTCACGTAAATGCTGGTTTTACGAATTAGTATGAATACTTTGACGGTGTACACATCAACTGTCTGAGAGCTATTTTATGCTGCGGTTCTTCCTCAGTAGACTAGTAAACTTAAGCCAAAAATAAGAGGAGAATCCAAAATTAATTGTAACAGAATTCCTCTCAACGTATTCTTACTTTAAATAACCTGAGAAAGACATTGATACCACTGTCAGCCAAAACTTGTAACTTGTTCTCAGTGAAAGTTATGTTGTCTTACCCCTGAGAGACAAACTATTATAATTACGTCCAGCTTCACTCGCATCTTTACTAGATTCATACTAGAAAGATGTCTTAGGTGGAAACTCATCATCTTTTTAACATCATAGTAACAGGATAATCATACCGACGAGATCATCATACTTGTAAGAAAAACATATTAACCAGATTAACACACAGATCAGATTAACCCACTGATCAGACTCGAAACACCAACAAGATCAGTCCACTGCTTGAATTCACCAACTGGGAAGCTCTACCCACTAATCCAGTGAACCCATTGACCAGATACACTAGCCAGATCACTAACTAGCCAGCTCAGCCCACCAGCAAGATCAACTTGTAAGCTATATCAACCCACTAACCCGCCTCCGACTCAATCAGTCCCCTGGCAAGGTCAGCCCACTAGCCTCAGGAGCCCACTGACCATATCAGCTCACTGGCAAGATGAACCCACTTACCTATTATTTAGAACTGGCCCATTGACTAGCACTATATTAATTCCCTAACCATATTAACACAGGATATCAATCCAATGATTAGATCAACCCACTGACCGGGTCAACCCAAAAGAAAAGATAAGAATACTGATTACAAAATCCCACTAAAAAAAAAAACCCACTGACCAGATACCCCATTGACCATATCGTCTTAAAGATCATCCTACTAACCAGATCAAGTCATACATTGTAATTACCAGATCCATCCATTAAGCAGATCTATAAACTATCAACAACGAGACGAAGTGTTAGAGGCAGTATCCTCTGGTAGCTTTAATATGTATGATATGCTCCACGCAGCCAGGAGAGAGTAAACCCGGTAGTAACCAACGGAGAGGAAGGGTCTGGAGCAATGGCTTTATCCCTGTAACCACAAATAGGTGAGTACAAATAGGCGAGTACATCTCGCTAACAAGGTTATCCCACATGAGATGGATCAGCCCAATCGCTAGATCAACCCTCTGCCCAGAACAACCAGCAAACTTAGCACATAACCTACTGCCCTGATCAAAACATTTCTATAACTCAGGTAAACCTACTAACAAAATCAAACCAGTGACTAAATCAGTTCTAATAATTTTTATTAACATTATTATTATTAATATTATTATTATTATTATTATTATTATTATTATTATTATTATTATTATTATTATTATTATTATTCACAAAACAGTACTAGACCCACAAGAACCCAACAATAAACTTGGCTGCACTCACCGAACAAATATGGTTCTCTCTAACAAAATCAAACCAGTGACTAAATCAGTTCTAATAATTTTTATTAACATTATTATTATTAATATTATTATTATTATTATTATTATTATTATTATTATTATTATTATTATTATTATTATTATTATTATTCACAAAACAGTACTAGACCCACAAGAACCCAACAATAAACTTGGCTGCACTCACCGAACAAATATGGTTCTCTCTATATTGCAAAAGGTTCTTATCAGCTTCTTGAAGGAGACTCTGAGTCATGTTGTCCACGTGGCTCACCTGAAATAGCAGCAATGGTTATTTGAATAAGATGGTTCACCTAGTATTGTCACAAAGTGCCCTTTCATGAGAAGGTTTACCTGTAATTTAGACATATATTTAGACGACATTTCTGTCCCACTTTAAACCAATATCCAGACAAGCATATAAATTTTATGTGCTTGTGTGTGATTGTTGTATGGGTTGTGTTGAAGCGCTTGTTGTAGCTGAATGCCAACGTCAGCGCCCCCTACCAGCCTTTCTCTACACTACACTTTAGTGTAGTAGGCGATGTGTTGAGCTAGGACTCTGTTAACAGAGTTACTTAACGTCAGTTATTCTGCGATAGTGGGTATTCACTCGTTTGTGTGTTTATTGTGTCGGTTTATTTTCTGGCAGCTATAATCAGTCTTGATTTTATGGTGCCTTAGTTCTCTAACATAAAGTTATGCTTTAAATTCTCTCATCAGCCTTTAAAGGCTTCAGCTTATCAAGTGGGCCGCTTATCGTGTTATTCATCGTTCTGTTTATCTTCCCATCCTGAGTATATTGAGCTGGCCAGTGAAACTCTGAGAGACTGAAAGAGCTGCTTTGGCTTTGGTAAAATATCAGTGAACTATTTTTCTTCGTTTCATGTCCTGTTACTATGAAAACCAACCCCACGTCTGTTTGACCCTGTCATGCTAGGAACGTTGCTTCTCATAATCTTCTCGACTTGAGATCCCTGCCAGCTGGTTTATCATCTCGTTAATGATTCACTCAGATCTATGCCTGTGCTATACTGTGCTATACAGTGTTGATGTGTTCTCCTTAGGGCTAAGGACTTTTTTCCAATTTTAGGTGACCTAATCTTCTGCTTCTGTCTTCAGTGGCGATTACATCTGCATAACACTGGACCACAATGGATTAGAGCTAGACTTCAGCATTACTGGCTGCTCCATTGCTCTGGCTGGAGGAACTTTGTTTTGCTTGTCTAAAAGTTGATTCATATCCAATTTGCTTTACCTTTTCATTGTTCGACTCAGTTCACTTTGTGTGCTTTATATATAAATAAGTTTTATAACGTTTGTGTCTTCTTAAATTTTCCGATTGCTTATATAGTTATATTTTAATATATTTTCCATTTTTCTTTACATAGGAACGGGATGAATTGTCTGAAACTTTGAAGTGTTAAATTTTCATTCACAAGGTTACTTGCGGATTGTTCCACCCGAGATTTTGTAAATTTTATTCTTCTGCTATAATAATGAAATGTTTTACTTGAAGAAAAATGTTCCCTGTAGCAATGCAAAGTTAACCTGAGGTAATGACAAGGCGTCCAGGTTCATCAGTGACCAATGGACATTATCCAGTTTATATGAACGACAGGAATCATTTACAGTAAAAACATTCCTGTTCAGTAAGTTAAACTTGTTTATTACTATACAGAGCCTATCACCAGTACTGCCATGGGAAATTTTAACAGTCACTCAGTCATTCCAAATATTCACCTCTTTCCTCACCCTCAGCAGCGTTTAACTACCAATATGTTTTCTATGTAACATAAAAATTCCTTTTTTTCTTTGGAGTAATTTTAAGCTTTGTAAATAAAAGTCAAAGTATGTAATTCTTACCTCTATGTATATTATCATTACTGTGTGTGCCTAGTTTCCTAATTTGCACTTTGCACATTTTATTTTTAAGTAATAAGTGTCTACAGTGTTTTCTTAATCTAAGTGCATTTATCATTCCTTATTGTTGACATAAATTCTTTAATTTTTAAATAATATATCTCTGCGAGTATTTTTGCAAATTTGTTTAACTGTTTATAATTGATAATATTTCTATCCTAGTAAGTGAGAATAGAGTAGAGATAACTCACCTGACTTAGTCCAATATCAAGAACATTATTTTTCTCGCGTTCTTTTGCACAGTTTTACTTAAAATTCTTGCTGTGTCAGTGCTTATTACATATTTTTATGTATGTGTTATTTAATTTGTTTTTATGTAATTTTTATTGCATTGCCTTATTTTTGTATTGCTTTTAGCATTTCATATAATTACTGTAACAGTGAATGAATTACGTTTTAGTCCGATCCGAGACAAACTAACACTCTGAAACAATTTTACAAACAACTCCGCAGCAGCCACCATGCACTCTTTGTCTGGTGCTAACAACTCCGCAGCAGCCACCATGCACTCTTTGTCTGGTGCTAACAACTCCGCAGCAGCCACCATGCACTCTTTGTCTGGTGCTAACAACTCCGCAGCAGCCACCATGCACTCTTTGTCTGGTGCTAACAACTCCGCAGCAGCCACCATGCACTCTTTGTCTGGTGCTAACAACTCCGCAGCAGCCACCATGCACTCTTTGTCTGGTGCTAACAACTCCGCAGCAGCCACCATGCACTCTTTGTCTGGTGCTAACAACTCCGCAGCAGCCACCATGCACTCTTTGTCTGGTGCTAACAACTCCGCAGAAGCCACCATGCACTCTTTGTCAGGTGCTAACAACTTCGCTGCAGCCACCATGCACTCTTTGTCTGGTGCTAACAACTCCGCAGCAGCCACCATGCACTCTTTGTCTGGTGCTAACAACTTCGCTGCAGCCACCATGCACTGTTTCACAAACTCTCCCTCTACACGAGGCCTCAACTTCTTTGCGATTAGCTGGCTCACTACATAACTCCACTGAATAACATTGTCTCTGTCATAACGAGGCTTAGTGCAAGCAGCTTGTTGTGATTCCAAACTCCAATGAAGAGCATTGATTTTATCTAGACGCATTTGGTTTCCCAATTCATTGAGTTTAGCATGTTTTGGGCTGTAATGACGCTCCAGATTGGCTTTTTTTTTTCATTACTGCTAATGCATCGCCACAAACTAGGCATACTGGTTTGCTTTGGCTTCAATAAAAAAATGATCATTTGTCCATTTCTCTTGGAAAGATCGACACTCTGCATCAACTTTTCTTCGTAGTCGCCATTTGTAGGATGTCACACCACTTAAGTTTTAATAACTATCCAATGTGTGTTAACAGTTTCGTAACGTGTCTTACACCTGCCGCTACATACTGCACTAAAATGTAAAAATTAATGCTGTTCCTGATATCTATTGAAAATGTATCGATATTTTTGTAAGTAAAAATAATAGTCAAAATGGCCGATGGAGATTCGATTTGTAACGACTTGTCGTTTGTTGGATAAGAAATTATTTAATATTTCGTATGAAAGGAGTGATGTAAGTAAGAAAGTGGAGACGAACATCTCTATAGCACTTTGCATCGGAAATATGTTCGAAATAAAGACGAGGGATGAGACACTGATTCAAAATGTCAAGAAGACCGATCGGATTTTATGAAAATATCACCATATTCTTCCGAAGTGCCGTAATTTTTATAAAAAAAATATCATAATTCTGCATACTTATTTGGATTGTAGATGTCGTATTTTTTTCTTTATACAGTGTAAATCGGTATGGGGAAAGGTTAATACAAATTTATGCTGCTTTGAAAAGAGCTCCTAGATTATTTGAATTTCGAGTTACGCCTGTGGTTGCCTTGGCAGGGCCAGACCAAATGATTTCAAGGGACTCAAGAAATCGTAATGACACGATTGCAAACAAACCATACCCCCGGCCGGGATTGAACCCGCGGTCATAGAGTCTCAAAACTCCAGCCCGTCGCGTTAGCTGGTCTAGTGGCTAACGCGACGGGCTGGAGTTTTGAGACTCTATGACCGCGGGTTCAATCCCGGCCGGGGGTATGTTTTGATTTCAAGGGACTTCTACGGCCCGCGGGCCAGACATCCCCTCCCCTGATCTATGGCAAGTACAGCGAGTACTCATTCAAAATATTGTCGTGATGTTGGGAAACAACACCGTAACCGAGATGATTCTCCAGTTAATGAGTTGTCTTTAAGCAATAAGAAACTACTTAAGCAACAAGGTTCTTATTAGTAACTTACCATATTACTCTTTCCATAATATGCAAGGCCATTACACTTCTCATTGCTTTACTCTCATGAAAAGTATGTATCATGAATTTGCTCGTGGCCGTCACAGCCGAGATCACAATAAAAAAGTATCGGCTGAAAACGAGGTTCTCATAACTGTCCAGTTGTGACTTTAGATAATAATCAGCAGACCATCCCTGTTTATCGTTCTTTGCTTCATGCAGTATAGAGGATGAGTCCTCTTTGTCTGTATCGATTACCAAGGTTAATATTATACTGTAAATTATTATGCATCTTTTTCTCATTCATTTTTACATATAGGTTTGCAGTTGACCGAATAAAGCATCAATGATATAAGACAGAGAAGTTTGGAAACCACTGAATTTTGTACTTTATACAGCCATAATCCACACCACTGTGCAACTGCCTCCCAGCATACATAAGAGGGATTACCAATAGACCTCTGGCTGTCTGGTTGATCAGACCACCACGAAGCCTGGTCTGAGACCGGGTTGAGGGGACGTTGACCACCGAAACCCTCTCCAGGTATGCTCCAGGTACCCCCTTCATTACATAATGAGTAAATAAACAGAATTATATTTACTAACAAGTATTGCTTAAAGAGAGAGATGATATACTGCACCTCATGAGAATCCCAGAAAAGTGATTCATATTGATCAGCCAAGTTGTAGAGATCTGGGTCATTACTGAAGAAGGAGTACGAGTGAGAGAAGATGGAGAGGTTGAGGTCCAGCGGGGGCTCTTGAGACGTGAGCATATCGAAAGTTTGGTCCACTAGGAGGCAAGAGATCGTCACCACCACTGGTATCAGACCCTGACAATTTAAAACATATTACAACTACACTTAGTATCTTTTTAATAGATGTAATGTTATTCTTATAACAATTATAGCACTATAAAATTACAGTTTAATGTATTTTTTATTATTTTATGCAACAAAAATTCTAATTAATACTGCTAGAAAAGATGCGGTAAGATTACCTGAGTGATAATGAGAGGCCATTTCCTCTTGGAGTAGATGATACGTTTAATGAAGAAGCCTTTAATTCTTTGCAACAGCAGACGGTGACCTGAGAGTCGATCTGGTGAATCTGTCGATGGAAATAAGTAGAAACCTCGAGAGACGTTCACAGAGGTTGCTGCGAAATCCCAAACCACATATATCACCAAAATGTTTGTACTAACATAACAGATTATAAGAACCTAATAATGGAGAAGTAAACAAATATATAGAAATAATCTTATTATGTGTAGCCAGCATCTGGGTTTAGCAATTAGTTATGATTATAATAATAATCTGGCCAGTATCATATTACTACTGTAGATGGATTACTGATTACAATTTGTTTTTGATATACAAAGCTCATAAATTGAGGCTTCAGTTCTACTGAACTCGACTGCCAATATTACTATAATTACAAAGGTAGGAACCAGTGAAAACTCCTTATTTTATATTCATTGATAGATATACATCTAACAGTGTGAATGTGCTGGTGTTTCCTAGTAACTCGTGCATCTTATTAACGTACTCTATACAGTTAAGGATGACCACTCCTTCTGTGGCGATGAGGAGGAGGACATTTAATTGCCATTTCTTGTCATGCTTCTACTCACTGGTGAAAACAGACCAATGAAGTTTACAGCAAGTCAAGCTACAAACAACGATCCGCTGCCATTTTTCAACCATCATGACAACATGATTAAGAGAGCGGTAGTTACAGGCTTCTTTCAGAATTTTCAGTTCGCAGTTCCTCGACGAATAGTGAACAGACATAACCTAAAATTTACTTTTAGTTGTGAGATAGTACTAGTGACTGACGTTTTATACAGAGACTAACTTCTCTTCTCATGAAGACACTGTGTCATGAACCGTTCTTTTTTTCTTTAAGATTACCTCTAGGAAATCGTCGTTCTTAAATCGAGGCCGTACTGTATCATGGATTCCAAACGCCCTTTTTCTACCGCTTCTTTCCGGTAACAGTGACGACATGGAAGATGTCTCGACAAAGTTCATCCATAGTGGTCACATTGCTCTCGCCTTCCTCCCTTTTCCTGACAGAAACACTGCATAATACTTTCTCAGCAAAGTTACCACGACCAACAAACAACGAGAAGCTAAGGCTCTCCAGAAATCCTTCATCTCCCTACAATCACAACAAATTGAAGGACATGAGCAAAGTCGACGTTATCATTAATCTTCAGCCGTGTGAGGGATCTCGATGCGAGTCATAAAAAGCTTGCAAGTTTCGACGTCAATGCCTTATTAAAAAATATACTAGGTGATCAAGCCGTTAATTTTCTTCGCAGGGTGATACATGATGACAAGAGTTGCTCGCATCCTGTCAGGATTTTGTAAGCCTCCTTGAACTATGTGTACGTT